AAAATTCACCGTCCCCATGCGTGGAGACGCTGAACAGCATCGCTGCCTACTGTGCAGCACTGAGCCAGGAAGCACCACCAGTGGCCATCTGAAGAATGGCCACTTGGAGGTGTCCCTAGGGGCAATGTAAAAACTGCCTTTTCCCTCAAGAAAGCGATTCACACCAGAAATCCCAAGAATATTGCTGAACTGAAACTGTTCTGTAAAGAGGAATGGTCAAGAATTACTCCTGACCGTTGTGCACGTCTGATCTGCAACTACAGGAAACGTTTGGTTGAAGTTATTGCTGCCAAAGGAGTTATTAAATCCAAGAGTTCACATACTTTTTCCACCTGCACTGTGAATGTTTACATGGTGTGTTCGATAAAAACATGGCAACATTTCATTCTTTGTGTGTTATTAGTTTAAGCAGACTGTGATTGTCTATTGTTGTGACTTAGATGATGATCAGATCACATTTTGTGACCAATTTGTGCAGAAATCCATATCATTCCAAAGGGTTCACATACTTTTTCTTGCAACTGTATTTCCCTGTGTAGGGCTGTCCAAAAAGGCTGTCACTCAGCCTGACCTGCTTTCAAACCAGGATGACATGCATCCAATTTGAAGTGGGACCACCCTCTTTGGACCATCAACAGCAAACCTACCCCTCATGAACAAACTGCCCCACATACACTCACACACACGCACACACACACAAACTACATCCTTTACAAACACAATGCACCCTTGTACACACACTGCACCCCTCACATACACACTGCATCCCTCACATACACACTGCAACCCTCCCATGCACACTGCAACCCTCACACACACACTCCACCACTCACACACACACACACATACACCTATTGCATCACACACACACACACACACACACACTATAGCCCCTATCCCGGCAGACCCACAGTAAGTTGTCAAACTGTTCTTAAACAGTTTGACTACTTACCCTGGGAGGGCACTACTGGCACCATGACCACTAAAACATAATGTAATGGTTATTGTGCCTGGATTGTTTCTTTAAATAATCTACCAGTGCCACTCCCAAGATTAGGGGCCCAGTATATGCCGCAGCCCTGTACATATGTGACAGAGTGTTGGGGATGGTGGTCAGGGGTGTATATCTGGCAACCAGACTTTTACACAGCCACTATCCTGACATGTGGTTAAGCACATGCAACCCCAGGGAAAATTAAGTTGAAATGTAGGTTGTTTCTATGTTGTTATTTGGGTCCCTGATGTGGAGTATTCGGAAGAGCAGGGTGGGCCGATTCTCCGCCCACTGTCAGAGTGGCTGTGCATGAGTCCAGCCCAGGTATTCTGAGGAGTTCTGGCTCACTGCCTAACGAGGTCATTAGCCTCACCTGCAGGGGCTGTGAGCAGCTATATAACTGCAGTTAAAGCAGGGTGGAGTGAGGGAAATTTTTGGAGGAGAAAGAAGGTTTGCTGCCTGTTGTATCCTGTTTTATCCTGTTGTATCCAGCTACTTCTTAACAACAGAAAATAAACAGGCCAGAGACCTTTGAAACTGGACTTTGTCTTGGCCTGGCCTGGTCAGATGAATTAAGGTTAGGCAGATGTAACGGACCGTTTTGCACAAAAGGGGAAAAAAACGCTTAGACGATAATCCCCTTTCAGAGACAGGCACAGCTACTGTAGAATCACCAAAACTCACGAACTGAATACAAGTGAATGCTCCAAACTCCCGAACGGCATACAAGGGAATGCTCCAAACACTCGAACTGCATACAAGGGAATGGTCCAAACACTCGAACTGCATACAAGTGAATGCTCCAAACTCCCGAACGGCATACAAGGGAATAAGGTAGCACTCCAAATACACGAACAGGAACCATACGAATTGCTGCTACCAGACGAACAGGAAAAGCTCCCAAGCGGCTTACACTCCTGGCAATCAGTCCTTAGCAGCATACAGTAAATCCCCCCAAAGACGAGACAAGGCTCCGTGTTGGGGGTCAAGCAGTGGTCTGTTTAATGAGGGCTACCTGCCCAGTATTTATGCAGGTCTCCCACCTGGTGGACACTCCCCTAGGGGACCAAATGGGAGACTGTGACAAGGGACAGACAAGTAGACAAATAGGACACACAGTCACAGTATATTCCCACAATGCATCCTGGCTTCCTCCCCTCTGCCCTGGGAGATAATTGAGAAGTAACTCAATTATCTCCCAAGACAAAGGCAAAACTCCATTACCCATGTGGGGACACAAAACCAGTATTATACTTTAAAATACATAAAGTGACATTTATTACATAAAACTCAGACATGTAACATATCCCCAGATAGCTCAGGTCTGAGCGCACATTATTAAGTGAATGGCGCTCAGACCACATGAATACAGTTTAATCGCCATGGAGCCAAAGCCTTTACAGTCAGTTTCATACGAATGGGCTCCATGGGATTCCTATCTGGGGTATAACACATTCAAACAAAACTACCGAACACTGGGCAGAAAAGCACGAATTAAGCTTTTTTGAAGGTAAAAAAGATGTCTTTTAACAGGGGGCCATAGTCCAAAGGCAGCAGGCGAGCAACCAGGCTTCTCCAATGCAATGTGGCGAGATTGGTCTCGTCACAGCAGACAATGTAATAGAGCAGCAGTAAATGCTAGCAGAATGCTAGGTTGTGTAAGGAGAGGTATTAGCAGTAGAAAGAGCTCATGCCATTGTACAGAACACTGGTGAGACCTCACTTGGAGTATTGTACACAGTACTGGAGAAGGATGTTGATACTTTGGAGAGAGTTCAGAAAAGGGCTACAAAACTTGTTCATGGATTGCAGGGTACCACTTACCAGAAAATATGTATGTGTACCTTGGTGGAAAAACAAGACGAGATGAGGGGGATATGATAGAAACTTTTAAATAAGTAAAGTGAATCAACACAGTAAAGGAGGAAAGTATATTTAAAAGAAGAAAAGCTACCACAACAAGAGGATATAGTCTTAAATTAGAGGGGCAAAGGTTTAAAAATATCAGGAAGTATTCATTTACTGATAGGGCAGTGGATGCATGGAATAGCCTTCCAGCTGAAGTGGTAGAAGTTAACACAGTGAGGGAGTTTAAAGGGACACTCCAGTGCCAGGAAAACAATCCGTTTTCCTGGCACTGCAGGTCCCCTCTACCTTCCACCCCCCCATCTACAGTTGCTGAAGGGGTGAAAACCCCTTCAGTCACTTACTTGAGACCCCCACCAATGACCCTCGGTGGTGGTTTTGGGTCGCCACCGCTCCACTCCTTCCTTACGTCAGCCGGTGGGCGAGGCAATGCCGCGCACGCGCATTAGAGCTCTCCATAGGAAAGCATTGAAAATGCTTTTCAATGCTTTCCTATGGGGAATTGAGCAACGCTGGAGGTCCTCAGCATGAGGACCTCCAGCGACGCTCTAGCACAGAAAACCTGTGCTATAGACATGGAAGTGCCCTCTAGTGGCTGTCTAGTAGACAGTCACTAAAGGAGGAGTTAACCCTGCAAGGTAATTATTGCAGTTTATAAAACAACTGCAATAATTACACTTGCAGGGTTAAGGGTAGTGGGAGTTGGCACCCAGACCACTCCAATGGGCAAAAGTGGTCTGGGTGCCTGGAGTGACCCTTTAAGCATGCGTGGGATATAATATAAGGTGAGGACATGATGAAAGTATTTAGAAAATTGGGCAGACTAGATGGTCAGAATGGTTCTTATCTGCCATAACATTCTATGTTTCTATGTTACCATGTAATATATATCTACAGTATTAATATGTGGAGTGTTTTTGCATTATAACAAACTGTATGCGGCACTACTTGTTCACATTTAGCAGTTGAGCTGCCTTTATTTTTTCATTGTTTGTACTTATGTTTGACCCTGCCTTGAGCAACAGGGCTTGCAGCAAAGAGTTAAATGGTTATTAATCTTGATTTTGAGTAACGAGGAAAACAGAAATTCAGTTTATTGATGTTCGGGTGACTCATGCTACAGTAAAATGTGAATTTGACAAAGTACAAGGAAGTAAAAGTAAAGCATAAAACTCCCTAACAATTTGTGTGAGGGTTTAAAAGGTATGTTGATCTAACGAAGGCCATCCAGCCTCCTCAACTGAGCTTATTAATTAGTCTTGATGACAGGCCCGGACTGGCCATCAGGACCTCCCTGCCGGTCTTTGCAGGGCCGGCACTATCCAAGCACCGGCCCTGCAGCAGTCCACGGCGGGCCGGTGGGGAGATCAAAGATCTCCCTCACCGGCCCACATTCAGGATATTGCGGCCGCCGGCGGGGAGAGAGGGAGGGAGACAGCCTGCCAGCAGAGGAACCCGGCGGAGCTCTAACTTGCAGCTCCGCCGGGTTCCTCTTGCTAGATTCAGAGTGTTGCCGGTCTCACAGGCTAGAGTTCACTCACCACTAGGACCACCAGGGATGGATGGCAGGCCCAGCAGCAGGACCCCCCTCCCAGGCTAAAGGTAAGCAGGGAGAGGGGAAATAATCACTCAGGTCACAGCAGCCTCACAGACACCCCTAACACTCACAGCACCCTTACTCACACACACACACACTGCACCCCTGACACTCACAGCACCCTCACTCACACACACACACTGCACCCCTAACACTCACAGCACCCTCACTCACACACACACACATTGCACCCCTAACACTCACAGCGCCCTCACTCACACACACACACACTGCACCCCTAACACTCACAGCACCCTCACTCACACACACACACACACTGCACCCCTGACACTCACAGCACCCTCACTCACACACACACACACTGCACCCCTGACACTCACAGCAGCCTCCCAGACACCCCTAACACTCCCAGGACCCTCACTCCCAGCACCCTCACTCACACACACACACACTGCACCCCTGACACTCACAGCACCCTCACTCACAGCACTCTCACTCACACACACCAGAGACAAATTTCAAGCAAACACAGTGCAAGTATGTCATTGAATTTGCTTGCGCTGTGCAAAACAAATACAGGGTCTTTTTCTCATGCCAGAGCTCTTCAGCAGAGCTCTGCGCATTATCTACCCTGGAAGAGCATTGAACCGACATGCTCACTTTGTGATGGGGCGTGCTTGTCATTGGTGATGACAAAACACGCCCTATCTGGCCCCGCACCCTTTTAAGTGGGCTGCAGTAATTAAAAAAATGCCCGGGCCCTGACGCGGAGAAGGCTTTCGATCGGATGGACTGGAGGTACCTGAAGGCTACACTGCAGGCTATGGGTTTTGGCCCACACTTGATGACCTGGATTCTCTCCCTATATATGGTTCCGACTGCTAGAGTGCGGGTCAATGGCGCTCTCTCAGCACCAGTTCTTATCCAAAACGGGACGAGACAGGGCTGCCCGCTTTCCCCCTTCCTGTTTGCCCTCTCCATGGAACCGTTCCTGGGGGCGGTCAGACGGGATGGAGGAATAAGGGGGTTCACCATAGGAGACACAACACACAAGGTGGCCGTTTATGCGGATGATATGCTGTTCTTCATCAGCGACCCCTTGGTCTCTATCCTGAACCTGCTGAGAGCCTTTAAGGAATACGGGCTCCTATCTAACATGAAATTAAATGCAGATAAATTGGAAGCCCTGCCCATCTCGATGGCGGACAACGAAATCGCCCAACTACAGACTCAGTTCAGGTTCGCATGGTGCAGAACGAAACTTAAATACTTGGGGATATGGCTCTCCGTGGACCTGACCCAGCTCTACGCACACAGCTTTGCCCCAATGCTACTCACGCTGAGACACGACCTGACGCAGTGGGCTGGCCTGTGTGTGTCATGGTTCGGACGAATGAACGCTATTAAGATGAACCTCCTCCCGCGCCTGCTGTACCTCTTCCAGACGCTCCCGATAAAATTTCCGCCACTGTTCTTCCGCACCATTGACACTGCGATCTCCAGATTCGTTTGGCACTCAGGAGAACTCAACTGCAGCAGCCAAAGGCACAGGGTGGAGTGGGTCTCCCATCAATTCTGACCTACTACAGGGCAGTCCATTTACACCCCGTGGTGGATTGGCATGCACTGACGACAGACAAGGTCTGGATACATTTGGAGCGAGCGCAGACAGGGGAGTCGCTTTTAGCGGCGGTATGGCTGGACAAGCCACCTAGGATTGAACGGACGCGAACCCACCCTTTCATATGGGTGACTCTGCAAATTTGGTACTCCATAAGGACCAAACTCTCGCTAACCACGATACCAGGGCCGCTGACCCGCTCACCCATAACCCCGATATAGCTGGGGGCCTTACACCCCAGGACATTGGGATGTTTGGAGCAACGGCTCTCACGCACATGCAACAATGGTGTACAGCGGACGCTCTAAAACAACTCCCGGATCTCCTACCGGATAGGGTCCCGACGGGCCTGGAGAGGTTCCGCTACTTTCAAATAAAAGCATACTACACAGCGCACCGTGGACGGTGCCTGTTTCACAGGAGCATGACGGGCTCCGAGGAACTATGCAGGGCATGGACACGTTTAAACAGGGGCATCTCCGTACTGTACACTCTGCTTCAAACAGCGGTCCGCCCGGAACCCATGAGGTATATGGCACGCTGGGAGGAAGCAACGGGAGTCACGCTCACGGACCAAACAGTGGACGAAGATCCACACACTTGCGCACCAAAGCTCTATGAGCTCTAAACACCAAGAGCTGAATTACAAATTGGTAACTGGCTGGTATAGAACCCCAGAGAAGCTACACCGGATGAACCCGGACTCCTCCGATATATGCTGGAGATGTGGGGAAGCGGTGGGGACGGAGTTACACATCTGGTGGTCCTGTAGCAAAATAGCTCCGTATTGGACCCAGGTACACGCACAGATCAAGGCAATATTGGACACTGACCTCCACCTGCAACCCCTCCCGATGCTCCTCCACCATACAGAGATGCCCATATCGAGGTATAAAAAATCGCTTCTGAAACATCTGCTAAACGCGGCTAAACTGCTTATCCCCGCCAAGTGGCGCTCCACGCAGGTTCCTGGTCTTCAATAGTGGATGGAGAAGGTGGAAGAGATACATGGGATGGAGACACTCACGGCATCCCTGAGAGGCACCACGGAGCGTTACCTGCAGACGTGGACACCGTGGATCGACTTCATATCTCGAAGGGGGAACTCAGACCACAGCCTGAGGCATCTGACGGGGAGGGCGGGGCAACCGGCTCTGTCTGGGTCCTGGGGGGAACGGGGGGGAGAGAGAGAGAGAGAGAGAGGGAGGGAGGATACAAGGAGTGGGAGTGCTTGGGGGGGGCGATCCCCCCTTCCGGCGTCCTACGCACCCTGCCCCCCGGGTACGGCCCCGGCGGGCTCGACCGCCCTCGTAGCCTGACCTTCTCCCGGCTTGCAGCCGATATATCACCCTCCTGGCCAGTGAACCCACACAGCTGACAATGGGCCTCTCTGTCTGACGGCTGCACCTGCACGGAAGCAAGGACCGTGGGGACACGGGTAATCCCGTATCGGGTGCTAGGCTAACTGGGGGGAGATTGTGGGACACACGAGGGCACCTCCAGCGGCACACAACTGGAAACTAGATAGAGTTAGGGGAGATGCGATGTGTCCTGACGTTCCACGGACTGGGACCAGACCGACCGAAGACTTAGGAGGGACGCGTTGGGGGGAATGGGGTGGGAGGGGGGAACAGCGAATACTACGACCTGACCAAGACAATCCCAGACGGTGGGCCCTGGAGCCCAGGTGCTTATGAGGAGACGACCATTAAGGGAACCAGACTCCTAGAGACCTACCAGACGCATGAGCTCAGCTCTACAGACCAGACGTCGAACTACACCCGAACTCTGGACTGGATGCCATGGGTGCCTCCAAGCATACACTGTGGGAAGGAGGAGCCATGCACCACGTCTGCCAGTGTGAAATCGCACACCATGGGGCATATCCCCGATAACAGTGACAACTTGGAGGGGACATATGACTAGGGAGGGGCGATACTGAGGTCAAGTACACGGTTCTGACTCTCGGACATACGAAGGGTGGAAAACAAAGACTGCGCTATCATATGCACATTCTTGCTGCCCGATGGGGGTTGGGAGGGGAGGGGGGACGGAGGAGGGATGCGACAGAAGTGGGCAAACTACACATATGCTACGCACAACATCGAGACACCTAAAAGGTGCTAAACACCCATAGCGAGAATAGGTAGGGGGACCCTTTAGGGGTAGGACAGGGTACTGAAGCTGAAACAAGCGTCTACAACGCTCATGTACTGTGGCAAACATCAACGACGGTAGATAACCCAGAGCTGAGCGCAGGGAACTTTACGCGCCCGTGTATAAATGCCCACGCCCTGAAGGGAATACCTCGATGAGGGGGGAGGGGAGGAATGTTCACTATACCTGAATTCATGTATCGTTATTTGTTAACTGAATACTAACTGTTTACTCTCTGTATTGCATACCGTCTTGAGAAATACTCTAATAAACATTAATTGATCAAAAAAAATGCCCGGGCCGAATTTTCTTCCCAGTCTGGCCCTGCTTGATGATCTCAGCTAATCCAACTGCGAGCTATTCTGCATGTGTGGCAAAACACTGTGCAGCGCCAATCAAATGATTGCTATTAGAATAACTGAGTCTGTCTCTGTTATTGCTGTGGTAGTGCCTCTAGTGGCTGCTAGGCAGAAGGGGGAATAGCCAGGCTTAAAGGGACACTCCACGCAGCTCTTTTTACTCACCTCGTTCCAGCACCGGGAGCCTCGTGAAGCCGTGCCCCCTATTTTGTCAAAATGAGGAAATAGGCAGACGCGAGCAGGGAGCAATCACACGCTTCCATTCCCTTGTGTGCATGTGCGGCTTCATAGGGCGGCATGCAGGCAGAAGAGAAAAGGCGCGCACACCGTGCCTTCTCTCTCCTGCACACGTCAGACGTATTTTAATACGTCTGATGTGTACATGGTCTTTTTAGGGCCATACATGATAGGAAGTCCCTCTGGTGGTCGTCTGATTTTAATGCGCACAGAACTGCATTCAGGCGATTATCTTCAGATTCACTTAATTCCAAGACTATTTAACTTTAGTAAATATGAGATATGCTATTTCTTTTGGAATTCAGTCATTTTCACTGGATTTAAGATTGGGACATATTTTTTCATTGCTTAACACCTTAAGGACACATGACATGTGTGACATGTCATGATTCCCTTTTATTCCAGAAGTTTGGTCCTTATGGGGTTAAAGGGATTCTATAGTAATCTATAGTGCTGTAGTGCCCTCTGAATCCCCTCCTTCGCCCCCTTGCGGTAAATAAAGGGTTACAAACCCCTTTATTTGCTTACCCAATTTCCGTACTGATGTTCCAACGCCATCCAACAGGGGGACCTAATGTGCATGCACAGCGAGCGCTGCAAGCTCATTAGACCCTACCACTAGGAAAGCATTGCCTGACTGCTTTCCCATGGGGATTTCACTGATGCTGGGTGTCTTCATGCACAGCGTGAGGATGTCCAGCACCGTTTAAGGGACTCAGAAATGGAAGCACCTCACTCAGCCACTGGAGGCAGTCTTAGTGCTGCAAAATAGTAATTGCAGTTTCTCAAAAACGGCAATGTTTTACATTGCAGGACTAAGTGGGACAGGGAAACTGCACCTAGACCACTTTAATGAGATGACGTGATCTGAGTACCTATAGTGTTCCTTTTACAAATGGTGCTTCAGCCTAGCAACTTTTGTATCTCAAAAAACCCACTGTTCTTAAAGAGTTTTTTTACAATAACCGCAGGCCCTATTACAATAACTACTGTTATTCCCATTTCCATTAAGCTTGGCCACATTTCAAAACACAAGATATTGGGGAGAGTCACAAATGGAATGAAAGACACAAGACCAAAAATGATAGAAGTAACCACAAAAGGACGACATGACCACAAGGAAGGGTATTTTATTTTGAAATAAAAAACTGGATAAGCACAACGCGTTTCAACCATTCAAAGAGGTCTTCCTCAGGTGCAATGAGGAAGACCTGCACCTGAGGAAGACCTCTTTGAATGGTCGAAACGCTTTGTGCTTATCCAGTTTTTTATTTCAAAATAAAATATTTCATTTAAATTTTATTTTTTGGTTCCTGATTGTATCCAGACTTGTGTTCCTGGGGGACCATTCCAACTACAGAGTATGCTACATGCTACTACAGTAGAGAGCCGACTCATATGGCTCTCTAAAGTGTGAGTGCTCCTAATTATTTTCTATACCAGTTATTGGTTTATGCATATTGCCCTATGATAGCTGTCTATGTTGCAGATTATCTCATCAAGCATCCATTGTGTGCGCAAAACCACCTTTCCTTGTATCCATTTGTATTAATGTAAGTGTTTTAAGGTGACTAAAACACTGGTTTGGTTTTAGAAGCAACTGGGATTTGTTTATTTATTTAATTATTTTGGTTTAGCGCCACTTATCCTACTGTTTGTGTTTCTATATATTTTAAAATATTTTTAGTGTGTTTGTTTAAAACCAAATACTAGTGTCCATTATGGGTTTCAATCTACTGATATATAGATGTGTCATACTGCTTTAAGAATGGAATGTATCAAAGTACAAGGAAGTAGAAGTATAAATTCCGGTACAATTTCTCGTCTTTGCTTTACAATGCAGCTATGACTAGCAAGGATTATACCTCCTTTTCATCTCAAAAAACGTATGTATAAAGATATGGCTATAATAATTTTAAATAATTTTCTCTTAAATACATAGAAATTGTTTATCTAATATTGGTTTACCATTTAAGAGTTCATTAAATATCAAACTAATTTAGCTAATTTAACAATTTATTAAAATCTTTGTATTCGTAAAAGGCATTGTCAAAATGAATGATATCTTATCTCTCTATACAATGTTAAAATGAATGGCTGATGTAATACGCATTTATATAAGAAGATACTACTATACAACATTGTGCTACAATGAAAATGTTTTGCCATATACCATAGTAACATTGATGGTATTTAAAATTTAGTTTTACATGTTAAGTTTATTTGTACTAGAATTGTCTATCTAGAATGTAATTACTTTACCCACCATTGTGATATGTTAAAAGAGCTAAACTGGCTGTCACTGGAATCCTGACGTACTCTCCATCTTTACAGCCTTGTGCATAAGAGCTTTTCTGGGAAGTTCCAACCCTACTCGAGTAAAATGCTCTCCCCAGCTGTTCCCACCTTCTATAACCTCAGATCCAGTACTAGCACAGTATTTAGCATACCGCAATACAAAAATAAAGTGGCTCGATCCTCATTTTCTGACAGAGCACCGCAATTATGGCATAACCTCAGGGACAATGTCAAATCTTCATTCAATTTAAAATCTTTTAAGAGACCTATGGCAATATACCTCAGCACAGAATATTTTTTATATTGTTTGTATATTGTATTTATTCTAATATTGTATCCTGTTGTAACAATGCAATGTTTTGTGGACCCAGTACATACTTGAAAATGAGAGAAATCTCAATGTATCCTTCCTGGTAAAATATTTTATAAATAAATAAATATTCTTTCACCTGCACTCTATGAGGAGCTTTGCATTGGAATGACTCCAGATGACAGACACATATTATCACCGATATGAAACACTCACTGACAGACACACTCACTGACAGACACAGTAACACACTCTCAATAACAGTTACACAATCTCACTGATTTGAACACACACTCCGTGACAGACACACACACAAATACACACACACTCTTACTGACAGACACTCTGACATACACTCTAACTAATACACACACTCACTGACACACAGTCTCAATAACAGACACTCGCAATGACAGACACAAACTCTCACTGATTTGATTCCCTCACTGACAGACACACACTGAGAGACACACACATACCAAAATCCTCTAGTTACTATGTATGAGGGAAAAAGGACATGTTTATTTTATATTTGTTTTACTTTTACTTAATGCATGACCAGAAAACAATTATAAAAAATAAATAAAACTTAAATTCGAAACTTTATTTTTGCTAATATAAAAATCAGATCCAAAATGTCTGGATAACCTGTGACTTTGTTCAGTATAATATTTTCATAATGTGAATTCTTACATACAGAAATTATCCAATCTGAAATATGATGAACCAATTGGAAAGAGAATGCCCCAATTGTGGTAACTCAAGGGATGGTGAGTAAAAATTAATAGAATAATATCCAACAATAAAGAAAAAAATACCATTGTATAACACTTGTGTTCACATGCTGCTTGTGCTTGCTATTGTATTTGCTTTGTGTTGTTTACCATATTCCCATCAAATGAAAAAGTGTATTTTTTATACATTACGCAGTTACTTACATAGTGATACATGAACCAGTCATTCTTTCAGTAAAAACAATTGGCGTCACAATGATGTCAATATTGTATCTGTTAGTAAGTGCGTGTGTTAGTGTGTGTCTGTTAGTGAAAGTGTGTGTTGGTTGAACAGTGTGTGTGCCAATGACAGTGCACTCTATGACAAGAACATCTTTTCTTTTTAAATATCCTTTTATTTACCATTTTAAAAATGTATTATTATTAAGGTTTTCAAAACTTTGAGGGTTATTCACTAAAGTGAGTATTTAACCCCTTAAGGACGGAGCCAAATGTACACGTTGTGAACGAAACAAAATGTAAACAAAACCTGGCATTTGCGCTACATGTCTGTCCAGCCGTAATTCATATTAAATGCACCCACCCTTATTATATATCATTTTATTCAGGGGAAACAGGGCTTTCGTTTAATATCAAATATTTAGCTATGAAACATAACTTAATATGAAAAAAATGGGAGAAAATAAGATTTTTTTAAAAATCTTTAGTTCTACATGACATTTTAACTGTCAATGTCATAATACTGTTTGCTTTTACTGCAATAAAATACACATATTTGTATTCAGAAAAGTCTCACGTGCAAAACAGTACCCCCTATGTACAGGTTTTATGGCGTTTTGGGAAGTTACAGGGTCAAATATAGCACGTTACATTTGAAATTGAAATTCGCCAGATTGGTTATGTTGCCTTTGGGACTTTATAGTAGCCCAGGAATGAAATTTACACCCATAATGGCATACCATTTGCAATAGTAGACAACCCAAGGTATTGCAAATGGGGTATGTCCAGTCTTTTTTAGTAGCCATTTGGTCACAAACACTGGCCAAAGTGTTAGTATGTGTGTGAAAAATGCAAAAAACGCCAATTTTCACCAGTGTTTGTGACTAAGTGGCTACTAAAAAAGACTGGACATACCCTGTTTGCAATACCTTGGGTTGTCTACTATTGCAAATGGTATTCCATCATAGGGGTAATTTTTCATTCTTGGGTCTCAAATGCAACGTAACCAATCTGGCGAATTTTAATGTGAAAAAAATGAAACACAAGCCTTATATTTGACGCTGTAACTTTTGAAAACACCATAAAACCTGTACATGAGGGGTACTGTTGTATTCAGGAAACAGTAAAAAGTATCGCAGCAATAATATCGTCCGTGAAAAATGCAAAAAACTTCACTTTTACTGGTGATATCATCATAGTAATACATTTTACTGTTTTGAAACACGAATATTTGTGTTCAGCGAAGTCTCCCGAGCAGGGGCGGACTGAGAGCCTTTGGGGCCCCCGGGCAAAATTAGATCCCAGGCCCTTTGAAGGCCAAATATATGTGCATTAAATAAATGTTAAATATAACTCATAATACAGCATTCCTTTGGATGTGTATATTGTGAAGACCTGTGTATCAATGCATGTTTGTATTTGAGTGTGTGAATGCACTTGTGCATGTCGGGATGACTACATGTGCTTTTTTGTATATAGTGTCTGTGTGAATGCATATGTGACAGGTGACAGTGTGTGAGGGAGAAGGTGACAGGTGGAAGAGTGTGGGAGGTTGTGACAGGTGGCAGAGTGAGGGGGTACCTGGTGGCAGAGTGAGGGAGGGAGGGGTTGAGTGGTGGCAGAGTGAGGGGGAGACACAGTAAGTGGGGGTGACTAGTGACATAGGGAGGGAGAGGGGGTGACTAGTGACAGAGTTAGGGAATGGGTGACTAGTGGCAGAGTGAGGGAGGGAAGGGGTGACTGGTGACAGAGTGAGGGGATGACTGGTGACAGAGGGAGGGAGTGACTAGTGACAGAGGGAGGGAGTGACTAGTGACAGAGGGAGGGAGTGACTAGTGACAGAGGGAGGGAGTGACTGTCACTAGTCACTCCCTCCCTAACTCTGTCACTGTCACCCCCTCCCTCACTCTGTCACTAATCACCCCCTCTGTCCCTAGTCACCCTCTTCCACACTCTGTCACTAGTCACCCCATCCCTCTCTCTGTCACTAGTCACTCCCTCCCTAACTCTGTCACTGTGAAGGAAGGAAGGGGTGACTGGTGATAGAGTGAGGGGATGACTGGTGACAGAGTGAGGGAAGGGATGACTAGTGGCAGAGTGAGGGAAGGAAGGGATGACTGGTGACAGAGTGAAGGAATGACTGGTGACAGAGTGAGAGAGGGGGTGACTAGTGACCGAGTGAGGGAGGGAGTGGGTGACTAGTGACAGAGTGAGGAAGGGGGTGACACAGTGATAGTCACCCCATTCCTCCCTCTGTCACTAATCACCACCTCCCTCACTCTCACTAGTCACCCCTTCCCTCTCTCACTCTGTCACTAGTCACACCCTCCCTCTCTCTGTCACTAGTCACACCCTTACTGTCACTAGTCACACCCTTACTCACTGTCACTAGTCACACCCTCCCTCTCTCTGTCACTAGAGTGAGGGGTGACTAGTGACAGAGTGAGGGGGTGACAGGTGACAGAGTGAGGGAGTGAGGGAAGGGGTGACTAGTGGCAGAGTGAGGGAGGGGTGACTAGTGACAGAGTAAGGGGATGACTGGTGACAGAGTGAGGGAGGGGGTGACAGTGACGGAGGGAGGTGGTGACTAGTGACAGAGTGAGGGAGGTGGTGACTGTCACTAGTCACCACCTCCCTCACTCTGTCCCTAGTCACCCCTCCCTCTGTCACTAGTCACCCCTTCCCTGCCTAACTGTCACTAGTCACACCCTACCTCACTCTGTCACTAGAGTGATGGGGTGACTAGTGGTAGAGTGAGGGAAGGAAGGCGTGACTAGTGACAGAGTGAGGGGATGACTGGTGACAGAGTGAGGGAGGTGGTGACTAGTGACAGAGTGAGGGAGGGGGAGGTGGGTGACCGTCACTAGTCACCACCTCCCCCCACCTGTCCCTGTCACCCTCTCCGTCACTAGTAACCCCCCTACCTCCACCTGTCACCAGAGGAGGGGAAGGGGTGACTAGTGGCAGAGTGAGGGAAGGGGTGACTAGTGGCAGAGTGAGGGAAGGAAGGGGTGACTAGTGACAGAGTGAGGGAGGGGGTGACTAGTGACAGAGTGAGGGAGGGGGTGACTAGTGACAGAGTGAGGGAGGGGTGACTGTCACTAGTCACACCCTCCCTCTCTCTGTCACTAGTCACACCCTCCCTCACTCTGTCATTTGAGTGAGGGGGTGACTAGTGACAGAGTGAGGGAAGGGGTGACTAGTGGCAGAGTGAGGGAAGGAAGGGGTGACTAGTGACAGAGTAAGGGGATGACTGGTGACAGAGGGAGGGAGGTGGTGACTAGTGACAGAGGTGATGACTGTCACTAGTCACTAGTCACCATCTCCCTCACTCTGTCCCTAGTCACCCCTCCCTCTGTCACTAGTTACCCCTTCCCTCCCTAACTCTCTTACTAGTCACACCCTCCCTCACTCTGTCACTAGAGTGAGGGGGTGACTAGTGACAGAGTGAGGGAAGGGGTGACTTGTGGCAGAGTGAGGGAAGGAAGGCGTGACTAGTAACAGAGTGAGGGAGGTGGTGACTGTCAC